TAGAAATACTGCCTTTACGTGAAAAGCATACTAAACAAGACGATAATCCAGGTTTGTAAAAAGTTCCGCTACTAGAGGTATACAATTTTTGACATTGGTAGAACAACCAGCATCTAAGCATCGTTGCATATCAAAGATGTTGCCAAATAATGCTCTAGAATCTGCTATGAGAATCCAATCGGAACTTAACCCTAGGGTAAAAAAAGAAGGCTGCTAAACAACTTGTAGAGGAGGGAATTAAACTTATAGCGGAACATGTATGAAGTTTATTCTTCGTTGATTAATATAAGGCTGATTACAGCTAGATGTAGCGCCATACTACACAAATTTAGAATGTAGAAGTAGGAATTAAGATATTAGACTAGAGAGCTTGCTCTACAACTCCAAGTGATTTTGTAGGTATAAGAACCTAATATTAGTGTGTAAGGCTTTTCTAGAATGCGTACAAAGAGCCTTTTATTATTAGTTAAGGTTCTATCCTCTTAAGCAACCTTAATAGAGACTATAGGTATAATATCAAAGTGTTGGATATCATGCTTCTTTGTATACTTACACACCATAGAAGCCTTTGCTCTTTAAGTAGCTGCTATAGCTCTCTTAATTATAGGGTTAGGAAGCTTAGTTCTAGGCTAAGCTGGCACTCGAGCCTAGCTCTAGATCTAGCTTAAGCTCTAAGCTATAGCTTAGCTTAGAATTAAGCCTTAACTGCTCTAGCTTAATTACAAGCTCTAGTGCTACCTAGAGCTAGGCTTAAGCCTAAGCCTAGGCTCAAGTGATTACTTAAGCTCTAGGCCTAGAATGAAGGTTGAGCAATTGCTTAAGCTCTAGATTAGACTTAGAGCTAGAGCTAAGCTTAGAATTGATGTTAATCAATTACTTGACCTCTAGCTATGGTGATGCCTAGAGCTGGGCTTAAGCAAGAGCCTAGGCTTAAGCAATCGCTCGAGCTCTAGGCTTAGAATTAAGCTTAAGTGATTACTTAAGTGATTAATTAGGCTTAGAGCCAGAGCTAGGCTTAGAATTAATCCAGACTATCTATGTGTTACGACGGAACAAGAAGGCTGGCCAACTACAGGACAGGAAGGAGGGAGGTCGCATGAGACCGGCCCTGGTACCTGGAGGGGCAGCGGGGAATAGTAGTTCCGAAAGTATCACGTGACGGACTCGCAGGATGATGAGAAGAGTCCTAAGAGTCCAGGACTCCGAGGACTCGAGTGAGTTCCCAGGAGTCCACTAGGCACGTGATGGACTCGCAGGATGATGAGAAGAGTCCTAAGAGTCCAGGACTCTGAGGACTCGAGTGAGTTCCCAAGAGTCCACTAGGCACGACGCCACTATATAAGTAGATAGTATTTCCTTAGATAGGAGCTTCGTGCTCAACTCAATACAGTATTTGTTATATACTAGTAACGTGTTACTTGAAGCCTTTGTGTCTGATCCCCTGCCTCCTCTGATAAGTAAACCCTTACGCAAGAGAACCTCTGTGTCTTCTATCGTTTAGAAGTCAGCGTTACACTATGAGGCACGACGTAGTATTCCCTTAGATAGGAGCTTTGTGCTCAACTTAATATAGTATTCTTTACAATACTGTAACGTGTTACTTAGAAAGCCTTTGTGTTTAATCCCCTGTCTCCTCTGTCAAGTCAACCTTACATAAGATATCTCTATGTCTTCTATCATTTAGAAGTCAGCATTACATCTATGTGCTATAATCAAAGTAGGTTTCTTAGCTTGCTTGTGTATACCTATACAGCTTACTAATTCTATGTAGAAGAGCCCCTAATTATCAAAGATAACAATAAGGACAGTGTATTAAACAGTATTAGCAATACAGGCTGTATATGGCCTGTATACAGGTCTGTATTGTATATAGAAATAATGAGTTAGTGCGTATTTCAAATTCTAATACAGATCTAGTGTGTATGACTAGTATTTAAGCCTTAATACTAGCTGTATATAGCTAGTATTAAAGCTTAAAATTCGAAAAGGTATATATTACTACAATGACTTTACAACTATCTAATGCGCTATTACAGACGTCGATGCCCAAAGGGCTCGTTGCCATCGCAGAGCTTGGTGGCATGGAAGGCGTAGTCATCGAAGAGCGTAAATCGAGGTTTGGCTCTGCGAATGCGTTCATGTGCCACTGCGGGTTTTCGAGCTGCGGCGAGGCCGAGTAGGGGGATGAGCGCAGCAGGTGCGAGAATGTTAGGAGGGAGGAGCGACCGTGGAGAGGGACAGAGTCGGGGGAGGGAGTGGCCCTTTTATAGAGCTCGAAAGCGGCGGCAGGCACGTGCACGCGCGTTGCCCGATTAGGGCGGGCGCTTAATTATAATTCTTGTCCGTATTTTAATCACAGTTACTACAGACTCTCAAAACGCCAACAGAGCTTATAGGCCACTTCCTGCCTCTAAGTGACTGTCACATAATCTCCTCCTTAGTCTATTTCTGAGTCAACCTGAAGAAACGTCACTGATATCAACGCACAACGCACGGACCACCCGAACCCGAAATCGTGACGGAATATTTTTGGACGAGAGGAGCAGGAGGGTCGCACGACTACCAATTGCAGAACTTTTGCGCCCGCTAACTCTTTAAATACCCCACGCCTCGAACAGCTCCAGGTTCATGAACATCCTACCCCAAACCCTCCTGCGCGCTACACGACACACACTCCCACGAACCCTTTCGAATCTGCCAAAGTACACGCGCACAAGACTCTGGAAAGCCCTCGCCCACCGCGCCTATACTACCCCGCCAAAGCGCGCATACAGCAACATGGCACACAACGCCGACGAGCTGGCCGCCAGCCTGCAGTCCCTCGGGCTGAAGGGCTCACTCGACGCCTACCCAAATTGCTACCCGGAGATCAACCCGGTCGATATCTACAGGGCGCACATCACGTCTATCCTGTCTCAGATCACTGGCGTGGACCGTTCGATAGTGTACCCCTCGCTTCAATGGACGCAAACACTGGAGAAGGGTGATATGGTTCTGCCCGTCGCCGCGCTGCGTGTGAAGGGCAAGAAGCCGAATGAGCTGGCTGAGGAGTGGGCGGCAAAGGTATGCGCGGCGCCTGTTTGGAGGTAATGGCGGAGTGCTGCTAACGGCGGCATAGTTTGAGGAGACGGCACTGATGCAGAAGCCTGTTGCCGGGGGCCCGTTCCTGCAGTTTTACTTCAAGGTCGACCAGCTGGCGCAAATCCTGCTGCCGACGATTCTGAAGAGCCAAAAGACGTTTGGGAGCAACCCGAACAACGGGCTGAAGGACCAGTCGGACCCATCGAAGGGGAAGAAGAAGATTATTGTGGAGTTCTCGTCGCCGAATATTGCGAAGCCGTTCCATGCTGGACATCTCCGAAGCACTATCATCGGTGGCTTCCTCTCGAACCTATACGAAAGCGCGGGGTGGGATGTTGTCCGTATAAACTACCTTGGAGACTGGGGCAAGCAGTACGGATTACTGGCCCTCGGATTTGAGAAGTACGGTAACGAGGAGGCGCTGAAGGCGGATCCTATCAACCACCTTTACGAGATCTACGTCAAGATCAACGCGGATATGACAAAGGAGAAGGACGAGATCAAGGCGCTTGAGGAGGCCGGCAACAAGGACGAGGCGCAGAAGATCAAAGACACCGGAATCGATGAGCAGGCCCGCAAATACTTCAAGGCCATGACTGACAACGATGAGAAGGCTATTGCACAGTGGGCCCGCTTCCGTGAGCTCAGCATCAAGAGGTACAAGGAAACCTACGCTAGGTTGAACATCCACTTCGACGACTACTCGGGAGAGTCCCAGGTTAAGGAGGAGCGCATGGCCCAGACCGGGAAGAAGATGGAGGAGATGGGCATTGCCGAGGAGTCTGAGGGAGCTGTCATTGTGGACTTTGCGAAGCATGTGCCCGGGAAGGCTGGCAAGGCGTTGGAGCGACCTGTTATCAAGAAGAAGGACGGCACGGCGCTGTACCTCACCCGTGATATCAGTGAGATCCAGCAGCGTGTCGATAAATACAACTTCGACCACATGATCTACGTCGTCGCGTCGGCGCAGGACCTGCATCTCAAGCAGCTCTTCAAGATTATCGAGCTGATGGGCTACAAGGAGCTCGCCGCCAAGGTGCAGCATATCAACTTCGGCCTGGTCCTCGGCATGAGCACCCGCCGTGGTACGGTGAAGTTCCTGGACGACATCCTGCGCGACGTCGGCGACAAGATGCACGAGGTCATGCGCAAGAACGAGGCCAAGTACGAGCAAGTCGCTGACCCCGAGGCCGTCGCCGACATCCTTGGTATCTCCTCCGTCATGGTCCAGGACATGTCCGGAAAGCGTATCAACAACTACACCTTCAACATGGAGGCCATGACCTCGTTCGAGGGTGACACCGGCCCATACCTCCAGTACGCGCACGCCCGTCTATGCTCTATCACCCGCAAGGCGGCGCTGAGCACCGAGGAGATCGCCAGTGCGGACCTGACGCTGCTGACTGAGCCGCACGCACATAACCTCATCCGTGTTATCTCCCAGTATCCTGATGTTGTTAACAACACGCTGAGGACGCTCGAGCCGACGACGGTTCTGACGTACCTGTTCAAGATGACGCACACTCTCAGCTCGAGTTACGATCACCTCCGTATTGTTGGCTCGGAGGCGGAGCTGATGAAGGCGAGGATGGCGTTGTATGATTCGGCGAGGGTTGTACTGAATAATGGAATGAGGCTGTTGGGATTGAGCCCTGTGGAGCGGTATGTTTATCCCCGATGTTGATTCTTTATGCGTGTAGATACTAACGACCACAGCATGTAAACGATGCAATGACACAGCGAGTTTAAAATATGGCTAGATTTGGAGGAAAGGCTTCGAGGGCTTTTTAAAAGCTTTGTCATCCAGTACACGTTATTGTAGACAAGTGCACTGGAAGCCGTGACTGGGGAAAGAGGGCGATCAAGGGACGCCATTCGACATAAAAAAGCATTTGTAATGAGGAAAATCAAACTTCACAACTGTTAGAGTAACCATCTGCATTATTCATGAGCAATTTCAGTATACACTCGACAGTCTAGTTATAAATACAGCCGTCCCTAGCTGGCCCGCTAGTTTTCCATCTTTTTCTTGTACACCTCTCCGCCTCCAAATCTATTATACATCTCTTCCGCCACCAACTCAAGCAGTAGCGCTAGTCTTAATCTGCACCCCATGCCACCCCTCCTCCTCCATCTGCTCCTTGAGCAACTTATTAACCATCCTCTGCTGCGCTAGCATTCCCACCCCACTAAACGCGCTACTCGCAACCTCAATCGCGAACATACTCCCGCACCCCCCCGAGATATCCTGGACGTGTAGCGAGGAAGGCGATAGGCTCGACGAGAGGGTGGCGTGGATGCGGTGTTCGGCAGGGGAGAGGTGCGATAGCGCACCCTCGGCGGGTTGGGCGGGGGCGGCCGCTGAGGTGGGTGTGGAGGAGTATGGCCTGTATGCGAGAGGTAGACGGCGGGGGCCGGCGCGGAAGACAGTTCGTGGGGAGGTTGTGAGGGCGCGGGAGGTGTGGGGGAGGGCGCGCGGGAAGAGAGAGACGGTGCGTGGTGTTGACATGGCGTTTATAAGCTCGCGGCGGAGCGTTGTTGGGGTGGGGGAGATGTGTAATCCGACCGCTGTTTGGGTCGAGGGTACGGTACAAGTGCGTCGCGGATGCAGCCGGGGGATGGGGCTTTGTTTATCACACGGAAATATTCGTTTTGGTAGGCGTGGGAGTTTGGAGATGCTGTGTTGGTTGGTGATGGATTGGGGGATTGGATTGGTGGTGGTTCCTGGGAACTTTTTTGGAGGCCATCGGTGGGTGGAGCGCCGGCCGCGGCGGCTGTCGGAAGGAATTGGGTGGTGGGCCCCACGGGCCAATGGGGAGCGTTGATTAGCAAGCTTCCAACGACGAGGCTGAAGGACCAACGAAGGTCGCCCAACTGTTGGAACAATTCACCGTTTGAATGCATTTCTATAGAATAGGCAGCAATCAGAGAAATACTTAGAGTACAATCGCGCTACCATATTCTACATATGTAGGAGAATTTAACTATATGGCAGCTGATTGTCGGGGGCATCAACGCCAAATATTTGTGATAACATGAACAACCTCCTCCCCTTCAACCCAGAGTCGGTGGAGCGCATTCTACAGACGATGGATACTTTCCCTGACTGGTATATTCTATAGATGGCGTACACCAACCTCATTACCACAGCTCGTGGACCCAACCACCATAGTCTGCATCTCAGACACACACATACAACCCAGCCCAAACTCCAAGATGGAGATCTCCTACTCCACGCGGGAGACTCTCTCAAAACGGCTCCTTCCATGGGATCCAGGATCAACTAGACTGGTTAAATGCCCAACCTCACAAGAACAAGATTGTCATTGGAGGCAACCACGATCTACTTCTAGATCCTGTCTTCGTCGACCGCTTCCCAGAACGCATATTTGAGAGACCTGGTACCAGCAGGTCAGACCTACAATGGGGTAGTATCATCTACCTCCAAGATAATTCAGTTGATCTTCACTTCGACAATGGACGTCAACTAAAAATATACGGAGCGCCCTCCACTCAGCAATTTGGAAATTGGGCCTTTCAATATCCTCCAATCCGAGATGTTTGGACGGGAGTTGTGCCACCCGACACGGATATTCTGCTCACCCACGGCCCACCGAAGTGGCATCTCGACGCAAATGCACTGGTCATGATGTTGTTGCTTTTGACCAAGTGCAGGTCGCGTATGACGATATTGTATTTGGCAAGAAAGGAATGTGGCCACTTATTAAGACCTCTTGATTGACAAGACTTACAAGAAGCGGACTGGGTCATGACCGAAGGTTACGAGGCTGGTGAATGCCGCCGTAGTTGGAGGGCGACATAATGAAGAAGCCCGGCCGCCTATTGTTGTATCTCTGTAACTGTGGAAGACATGATGTGTTGCATAATGAATATATATAGTTAGCTGTAACTTATGCTTAAAATTTACTACTTCTCATATCACTGGTGTAGTTCCAAGACCCAATGAGTGCAAAACATGGTACAGCCCCAATATAATTATTATGAGAACATCTCCATCTCTATTCCAGTACGCTTATATTATTAATCCCTCTTTAATCCAACCACACACAAGCATCATTTCCATCACGCGAAAACTTGGAAATCCCCTAACTGCATCCTATACCCATTCTCGCCCCCTACCCCACCCAACTTACTCGCCGCAACCCTCACCCACCTCACACTCACACTCGGAAATGCAAATACCAGCCCCTCCCCAGCCAACGGCGCCGGAAACCCCGTCTGCACCAGCAAATCCATCCACGCCTCCCCATTTCCACTCCCCTGAATCTTGAAATCAACTGGAAACCCCGATCCCGTACCCTCCACGAGGTCAGAGCGCGCAAACAGCACCACGCGCCCGATACTCTTCTCAGATCCCAAGTCCACACTCGCATATTCGCTCCCAGCAGCACTAGCATGTGAGACAGACGACCACCCAATCCGTCCTCGTACGTCACCATTAGGCTGCGCACTGGGTACTCATGAGTCGAGTAGTAGAATTTCTACTCACCCAGCTGAGTTACTCACTCATATCCCGAGTATTGTTGAATGAGGATTACTCACTTGCCGGTTACCTAGTATAGGTCTTGGCAACCCAGTTATATCACGTGTTTGATTAGTCATTGAAAAGGGGGTGTGATCGTGACTTCACATTGATATCGATATCGTAAAACGCCATAACTCAATAACTCCATTCCCATGTCGTTGATATCCTATTCCACACTATAACCTTTGCCTTTAGGTACCAGGTTACCAGAAGGTTGCCAGAACTTATCTAACCTTCATTCCTGGGTGAGAGACATTTCCATCGATTAAGCCTACAGCTCCATGATTAAACATCATATCCCGCAAACGCCGAACCAATACCATATCCTTTGCCTGAATTGTCACTCTCTTCGCATGAATAGCAAGGAGATTTGTCACTATAACTGTTAGTATGTCCCTGTCACTATGTTCAAGTATCATACTCTCAAATTCTCGAATGAGGAAGCATTCGGCAGCTTCCTGGAGAGCTAGGATAGCAGATTGCTGGAAGCGAAGATTGGACTTGAAGTCTTGTGCGATTTCCCTAACAAGACGCTGGAATGAGAGCTTTGGAATAATCAGGCGAGTATCAAGTTGCTGTCTTCTGATATCGCGGAGAGCCTTGGTGCCTATATGTTTATTAGAGAGTTCTGGTAATCCTCTGGTAATCCTCTTACCAGACTTTGCACGGCGCATGGCCTTCTGAGCATGATTGTTGCAAGCTTGAGATGAGCGAACTGGAGCTTTTCTTGCTGTGCGCACAGCCTTTTCCTTTCCCTTTCCCTTTCCACCAAGCCTAGAGCCAGCCTGTAATCCAAGTGGCATTCTTGGTGCTGTGCCGCCAGTTGATCTCCTAGCAGTTTGCTTAATACGAGCCATTTGCTAACATTAAGATGAGTTAGTGAAGTATACACAAGACAAAGAAGTAGATCAAAAGATATATGTACTTACAGTGAGTTTGTAGCAAGGATGTTGTAGAAAGAGTAAAGAAAGAGGTAGAGGTTGAAAGGTATGTGTTTTATTTGAAGGTACGCGTTGTAGTGTTGTTTAGAACAGTAATTATTTGCAGGTGAATATTCCTTGACGAATATAATTGTTTGCAACTTTAAAAAAACAACAACCTTACAACCAACCACCTTCCTTGGTTACGTTCCGATCTACACATTCTTCTTCTCTTTTGCGCTTTACCTCTTCACTAGGACCTCAAGTAAGTTTATTATCTTGATTCTACAGTCAGAACTTCTGATGATCTTCTGCTAATCACGTGTTTAGCATGGCGAAACGCAAGGCACCTGAAGAACTCTCCACTAATTTGAATACTATCAAAGCTCGCAACCGCGTCTCCAATCTTACTGAAGATGAGAAGGCTGTTCATTTAGCACTCAAGGCTGACCATGGCGATCTGAGCTACTACTTAAAGAAGTTATACAAGTCTGCAAAGTATATCGCTGCCTCTGCTGAAGACAAGACACGTCTACAGAATGAATTGAAGGTTGAGCGTATTCGTGTTCGGTAAGTTCCTTCTGGTAATCTCTGGTAGCCTTAATCTAACTATAAACAGGACTGAAAAGGGCACCCATGCATCTTGCATTGCGAATCAGAAAGTCAAGAATACTAGCGCCCCTTCTTCTTCTCCACAAGCCCCACCATCTACTCCGCCACAACTTCTGTCTGAGCTTGCTGCATTTGAGGGTATCACCAGTATCCCAATCGATGACGATCATAACAGCGAATGGGAGGATACTGAGGTTGAAGACGATTTAGAGTTGGAGCTTATGTTACGGCGCGACGATATTTTAAATGACGAGGCTGTTCTACCAGATGAGCTTTCTGATGAAGAGATCGCTAGCATCCAGGCTCTCTTAACTCAAGCACGCATTGATGTTGGTACCTCATAGTCTGGTAATCTCCTGGTAATCTTCTGGTAATACTAACGTTGATAGGCCCATGAAGAGTCCAATTTCCGCAAGTGGCAACATTTCTGGGATAGCTGTATCCGCTCATATACGAGAAAGGCTGGAAAGCTGAGAAAGAAGCCTGAGCATCTCTTTGAATATATGCCATGGATTGATGTAGAAGAAGGGTACGTCTCTGATCATTCTAGCAATCTTCTAGAGATACTAATTGTTTATTATAGCACTTTTCACAACGTTATCCCACCACATAAATATTTCTGTTTGTACGAGCAGGCAGTTTGGACAAACTTTACAGCTTGGAAGTTTGGAAAGTGGGCCCAATTACCAGGACCTGCGCAGTGGTACCCAAAGTCTTACAATCTTGTCGACAACGGATGGTTACAAGTCTCCACTCATAGTTCTAGCTTCAAAGAGGCGTTCTTACTTGTCTACTCTAAGAAATTTGATAAGGAAAAGTGGGCTAAGGTATCAGCTGCACAGGATATGTTGTTTCTGGAGTTAGAGTAGAGGAGAGAAATGGAGTATTTGATTTTCCGACGCGAATAGGGGCTATAGAGATTTAAGTATTTCATCGTAGCCAGACTTCTGGTAATCTTCTGATAATCAAACAATTTGCTACTTGCCAAATGTCATCGCAATATTCAGAGTTGTTTGACTCTGACAATCCTATTTCTAATATATTCTCAGACTCTCTTCCCTCTTCTCAACGACTACCTTCATTAAATCAAATCCCTGCGGGCCTCGAATATACTGGCAAATTAAACCAATTCATCAAATGGACTAAGGATACACACGATGTATTCATTGAGTGGTGGAAGCTATCACGATGGTATGAACAACACTCAGATCATACTACAAAACTCCTTACGAAGATTGCATGGGATTCAACCAACCGGAGTTCTCAATACTGGAGAATTTATCACCAAGGAGCAGACCGGCTTTCTGGAGAACCATGTGTCATTTGTACCTATTGTTCGAAGGCCCTTACGCATCCTGCAATCAAGTCTGCTGGCCCAAAGTCTATGGCAACACATCTTGCATCAGACATTTGCAAAAAGAAGTCACGGATGGGTAAGGATAGTCTCTATCAAATGCGAATCAATCAGATGCGACCTCAACAGGTAAGGATTACCAGATTATTACCAGAATTATATAGGCTAATATCTATAATAGGATCATATTCTCACACAAGAGGCATTTTACGAACAAGTTCTATACACAGTTATCTCAACTCATAGCTCGTTCCGCTCAGTCGAGGATCCTGAATGGAAAAGGCTTGCTATCTTACAGAATCCTCACTATCCACTACCCTCAGCAACAACTATTCGAAACCTCTTAACAACAAAGCTCACACAAATCGAAGAAGAGATGCTACAAGATGTTGTTCCTGGTTCAAAGATTGCATTATCGCTCGACTGTTGGTCAAGTGTTACTCGACTTTCATTTATGGGTGTTATTGCATCATTTATCGACCGTCATTGGAAAATGCAAGAGGTCTTGATTGGGTTTGAACCTATATATACAGAGCATACTGGTGCTGAGTTATGTGGAATACTTGAAAAAGTTATCACAAGGCAGCATTTAGAAGGACGAATTATATCCATTACGACTGATAATGCGTCAAACAACACTTCAATGATGAGAGATGTGGAAATAATGCTTGATAGTATTGCAGACAACGAGCATTTCATTGGAGGAAAAGTACAACACATACCCTGCCTAGCTCACGTTATTCAACTTGTCCTTAGTGCTCTCCTTGGTCGAATCCGGATTACGCCAACAAATCAAGAGATCTTAATGAACTGGGAAGAAGAGAATCAGATGGAGGGCCTTGCAAAGTTGCAGAAGGACAAGGGTATTGGATTTACACTTGGAAAGGTATATATTCTCTTGTTAGTTCTGGTAAACTTCTGGTAGTCTTTTCTAATATCTCATAGCTCCGGAAGCTCACTATCTTTGTTAATTCAAGTCAAACTCGAAGGAACAGGTTTATGACTTTGCAAAAGGCAAACATGAACCGGGGTCAATCATCTCAGAGGCTTCTTCGACTTATTCAAGATGTATCAACTCGATGGGATTCGACATGCCATATGCTTCTGCGAGCACAGCAACTCAAGTCAACAATCAATCAATATACTCGAGGCGATCATGGTGCTCACATGTTCAGACTTAGCGAGCTAGAATGGAAGCACATCGAATACATCATTGATCTTACAAGGCCATTCAACTTCTTTACAACAAACATTGGATCGTCAGCCGGACCTACTGTCTGCTATACACTTGGAGTATATCAAAAACTCTTATCAACGCTTGAAGGAACTCGGCACCGGCTACGGCATAAGACATATCCATGGGCAGCAAAGATGACTTTAGCAATCGATGCTGCAGAGAAGAAGATTAGGAAGTATTATAACAAGCTATACACAAATACTGGATCTATCTTCGCATTTGCTAGTATCTTAAATCCTAGTGTGAAGCTCTCACACTTTAACAAAAAGGTTTGCAAGCTTGACTTTTCAATACGAAATTGGGAGACAGAGTTTGAACAACAGTTTAGGACTCTTTATAAAGAGCAGTACTCTACAGTGCGAGTTGCGAGTCAATCAGGATTACGAGATGCAGATATGGATCCATTAGCCTTAGTATTGCAGCAAAGTCAGACATTAAATGGGACTCGGGGCCAGCGAGAGGAATATGTGAATGAGGCTGATCTCTATCTTGATGCTCGTAAGTTTCTGGTAATCTTCTGATAATCTTATTCTAACTTGTATAGCACATATCTACACAAAGATATTGCTATTTTGGCAACAAAAGGAAGAGCAATTTCCTGGTCTATCAGCAATGGCTCGTGATATACTTTGTATTCCTGCTGCTGAGTCTGGAGTTGAGCGAGTCTTTAGTGCCGCAAGGGACGTATGTGGCCACCGACGTGGTCAACTTAATCCTGAGACGATTAAGAGTATTATGCTTATATATTACTCTCGACAATACAAGAATCGTCAAGGTCATCGTGACAAGCTTGCAGATATGATGGACGTCGTTGATATGACTGAGGAGCAAGTCGAAGAAGAGTATGAGGCACAACGACAACGGATGTGCAATTCTATCGAGTTACAATATATCAGCGATGAAGAAGAACCACGATCAAATACACATATCCGAGAGACATATTCAAAGGTACAATATCCTCCGTTTAATCCTCAGTGGCCACAGCAACAGCAAGACTTATCACAAGCTGCACATGAAGAACGACAAATGCGCTACCAACAAGGTGAAGAAAGAGATAGGGCTGACCGTCTTAACGAGACCTTATACGACATCCCAGATGACGATATCCCAGATAATGAAGATATAAGAGAAGATGGTAATAATGAGGAGCCTATACTTCCAACTATTCATGACGATGAAGATAAGGATATGCCGTCCTCGCCACCAACGCCTATCCAACGCCCTCGGAAGACTGGAGGAGATCTACTTGATATCTTTCAAGCTACTCGTCAAGACCCTATAAATACTTTAGGTATTAGTAGGTCTGGCCGGCCTCATCAAGCAAGGTGGAAAGATGTTCTTGAGCATATATAATATAGTGTTCTGATAATCTTCTGATAATCGTGGTACTTAGATAGAGGAATATACGTGATTCGTTCTCACAGCTTATTAGAGATGGTAGAGTGATGCTGATAAATGTAATACTTTAAGTTAACTTACAACTGTAACCATAAAACAGTATTAATCGTATGAGGGACTGTTCACGTAATGCATATATCTTACACGTGACAGCCGAGTACTCACTGGGTTTTTACAGAGTAACTGAGTATTGGCCTCACTCACCGAGTCGAGTGAAAGGTTCAGCTACTCACCCAGCTGAGTAACCCACTGAGTGAGTGAGCCGAGTATTGGGCGAGTAGTGCGCAGCCTAGTTCTACGTGGTGTTCTTGACGGAGACTAATCAGCTTAGTTTGGGGAGTATTGCAGCGGCGTTTGGAGACGAGACGGTGGATAAGGCGGTGGCGGATGCGCAACAGGGAGATGAGAAGAGCGTGGCAGAGGCCGAGAAGGTGTAGGTCTGAGGCTGCGGATGGAGGGGATGTATTTGTTTGGGGGGGGGGGTATTTACGATGGCTTATATTAATCTACTGGATTTAGTGGAAAAGATCAACTCAACTTATCTGCCAGTATTAGCCGCACTATGTGGATGGGATTCTGCGGCCCAAAGTAAGCATAGATGCTGATATTATCAGATTACGTTCCTCGGCCTGCTTCATATCAAAGATTTTAACTAGGCCCTATTCCGTGCTCCCCTGTCCCCACAGTCAAATAGTCCAGTAGACAACAGCCTCGAATGGCCGTAACTCTATCGTATCACCACCAGAAATAGTCGGCACAGTCTCATAATTCCCAATTACCTTCTGTCCCTCGCTGGCAAACGGCTCAACTTCAGTGGGACCTTCCAACTCACTGATTCCGCCCTGAAATTCGTCACGACTAGTGCTGCCCCCTTACTGTCAGACGTCGCCCGCATATACGCAAACGGGGATAAAGTCGCCATATACGAAGACATTCTTGGGTTTAAGCCGCCGCTGAAGCAACGCTGCCCAGTAGTGATACACGTTATCCGGCTGGCTGACTTGTGCCTCGGCATTCCACGTCTCATAATCCCCATGCACGTTAATCCACGGCTTCTCTCCTGTTGTAATGCCTGCATGTGCTGATTTATTCCACTGCATAGGCGTCCTCACGTTATCTCCCCATTTAATCCTGTACTCCTGCATCGCCATAGCCGGATACACGGCGAGTAGCTCGTGCCAGTGATTCAGAGTCTCGATATCGCGGAAGTTGTCGATAGTCCACTCCGCGGGTACATTCTACATAGCCAGCTCTTGGCCCTGATACACGAACACATTACCGCTCGAGGGCGTTCCAACCGCCGTTGAAAATCATGACGTGTTGCCATTTTCCGACCACCGATTTGAGGTCAGACATGCGCCATTTGTGTGGTGTAAATTTGCCACCGGGGCCATGGTCAAGGTCCACGCTGGTGACGTTAGTGAGAGCATGAATTGGGTGGATGAGGAAGGGATGCCTACATCTCGAAGTGGAATATCATGTTCAGTTCTCCTCGATCGAAGGCCACGCTCTTTAGGATCTCGTCTGGATCGGTGACGCTCGGCATCTCGCCTACGGAGAAGGTATCGTACTCCTTCAAGATGGCACCGATGTCTTTCAGGAACTCGTGCAGGCGGGGTCCACAGGCGTAGAACTCATTTCCCGACTGGAATTCCTGCGTTGGGTCTTGTATTGGGGCATCGGGGAGCCCAGGCACTTTACTGATAAAGTTTATGACGTTCATGCGGAAGCCGTCGACGCCTTTGTCGAGCCAGAAACGAATGAGGGAATGTACCGCGTCGCGATTTCTCCCAGTTTAGGTCGGGCTGCTCGGTGGCGAAGAGGTGGAGGTAGTACTGATTGGTTTTCTCATCGAGTTTCCATGCAGAGCCTGTTGGTGGTGGTGTGTTAGCAAGAGACTAACCTCAGGAAGTATGATCCCCAATTGTTTGGGGGTTGAGGGCCGCCATCTGCATCGATCTTTGGGTCTTTCCAGATATACCAGTCTCGATATTTGTTGTCTTTCGAGGACCTCGACTCTTTGAACCATTCGTGCTAAACGGCCACCTCTTAGCACCTTCCTTGCTTTGGTTTTGCTGATAGCATACCTGATCGGAAGTGTGGTTCACAACTAAGTCCATCACATACTTCATGCCACGGCTATGGAGCCCCTTAATGAGATTATCGTGATCATCCATTGTGCCATACGGCTCGTGAATATTCCTGTAATCAGAGATATCATAACCCATGTCGACCTGGGGAGATTGGAGAATCGGGGAAAGCCAGACTAAGTCGACACCGAGGTTCTTGAGGTAGTCAAGCTCGGATGTAATCCCTGGAATATCCCCAATGCCATCCCCATTCGAGTCTTTGAATGAGGCGGAATATATCTGATACACCGAAGCCACGCCCGGTTTTCCGGCCTAGGGGTGTTTAATGCAGGCAACATCTCGATGGAGTAGCAACGGTGAGAAGAGTGAATAAGGTCGATATGGGACTGGAAATAAGAGGGAAATCGTGTTCTTTTATATAAGATTCAGAAAATAAGCAACCAAATATTAAATAATCGAAACACCCGATGGGGCTGACACGCCTCACTGCAACGAGTACTACCTACCTACCCCGCGATCCATGTGGGACACCCCGGCCGTCGGCCGCACTTGTGCATGCGGCCGCCCTGAACCTTGTCTGTGGACTGAGGGAGGAGGGAAGCTCCCCCATGTAAACCCCGTATAAACATATGAAATATATACCGAAAAAGGAGAAACTGAGAATTTTGTGCTCAAAGTAGGAAAATAGCTGCGTGACAGCTAAAAGTTGGTCAATATCTGGGCAAGCCGCATATGGCGCTAACAAATCTAGCGGCATCGAAATGCTCTAGATTAACAAAAGCCGTATCCCGCCGGAATCCAACCAAAATCACAGAACTCGGATAGCTACTTATCTCTAAAATGGCGGCCGCAAATTTTGAAGCAGCTATATCTCTCATTGACGAAGCGCATTCCGAAGACCCTACCATCGTGACCGTTAATGGCAAGGAAATTCCATATGAGCTACACTACGCGCAGAAGTCTACCCACTACCTTGCGCTCCGCGAACCAAACGCCTCGCCCGTTTTAAAAACAGCTGTCAGGGCACAGCATTTTCGCAGGTAAGTTTAATGCATCTACCAATGAAGAGTTCCATCTCAGTCGAGAGGTATCTAATCGAGCTAATATCTTCACAGATGGGAGGTGCCCCGCACTACTTACCCCGCCACTAGAGTTGGCTATTTTGCCTGGAGGACATTTCTCAAGAAGCGTCAGGCGGATCTTGCTTCGGAAATTTGCACACGCTGTAATTATAGTGCTGAAGAGGCGGAGGCTGTGGCAGTACTTATCCGCAAGGAGGATATGAAAAGCAATGTCGAGTCGCAGATTTTAGAGGACGTCGCTTGCCTGGTTTTTCTTGACGATCAGTTTGAGAAGTTTGAGAAGGAGCATGATGAAGAGAAGATTCTCAGTATTTTGAAGAAGACTTGGGCTAAGATGAGCGAAGGGGGTCAGAAGTTGGCGTTGGAGATGGAATTGAGTGATAGAGTGAAGGAGTTGGTAGGAAAGGCGCTGAGTTGAATATAGTATTGAACTACTCTATGTCTCTAGCTTTCACGATGCATAATGGGAATCTCTATGAACGAGGAAGAAAACTGCTTTTAATATGTGGTTTCACTCATCCTGTCTGACAAACACAGGCATTGTATAAAGTGGACAGTCTACGTTCCGTGTCTGGCCGCCTTCATATCTATTCCATCCAGCAACTTCCACTTTTTGCGTTTGGAAAAGTAAACTGTCCGGGTGATGCAGTCAGCCTGCAGAACTGGCGCACATAGATACATATATTGATCGTCAACTTCCCAGCATTTCGGATCCTCCGGATACTCATAAAAGCAGGTCCGTATCACAGGCGTCCCCTTCTCGTGCGCCTCGCGCATCAGCTCTATGGTATACTCTCGCATTTCCTCGCGCAGAAGCATGTACTTCTTACATATCATCTCGACCTCAGGTCCGTAAGACCACACTTCGTTGTCGGCGCCTGACGTGCAGGTGGCTCCTACAGTACTCGTAGTGCCGCGCTGCGGCTTGTGCGGTTCGCGGTCACCATGGAGACGCATGACGGGGCAGAAGGCCCCCCACTGGAACCATCTTACGAACAGCTCTCTGAATGCTTTGTCGTCACCACCATGGAAACCTCCGATGTCAGTCGTCCATCAGGGATACCTGCAATTCCCATTTTGAGTCCACCGTGAGTTGGTTACTGAACGAGGCCATGCCCAAACACAACTAGCTGGAGCTTCGTTCGCTGCAATTCCTTGAGTACATATTCATTGCAAGCAATATCGCCACTCCAAACTAGGCACCAAACTTGAGCGATACATACCGATTGTGGTTGGAGAGGAGCAAACATACCGTGAGCAATGAGCTGCTATTAACCGAATCGCAAAACCACCCGCGAAGCCACCGAACGTAGATAATTAATTTGCTCGTAACATGTGCAATTTTAGAGCGATAGATGTAAAAATCGATCCATTGTAATTAGAATTGAAAGCTATACAAAATAAGCCCGTATAGTATATACAGTCAAACACCGTTAAGACGATCTTATGTAAGACGATATATTCGATTGTGCGATTTATTTTCCGGGACGGATTCAAACACCATACATTTATCGATATTCACGATATCCTTATATTCCTCCAACATATCGTCCTATACACACATAGAATGCCTCGAAAGCAGCGTGTAACTCTCGAGCAGCGACGAGCTTTACGCACCTGGGTTCGAAGCCAACACCACCGCCCTTCTCAACGAGCCTGTATCGCATGGTTTCAGCAGCAGTTCAACCACCAGTTAAGCCAATCCACTGTTTCTGAGTCCCTCAGCGACCGTTTTTCAACTCTCGATGGCATAGACAACAAGGTTGAAGGCTCACGAATTCGCCTAGGGCAGTGGCCAGACCTTGAGAATCTGCTCGTCCTCTGGCAGAAACGAATCGAAGAGCAAGGAGGGTTTACAAGTGGCGATCTCATCCGAGAGAGAAAGCTCGACAAGTCTGGTGTCAGTTGCCACAATACTCTGGCCAGGAATGCCCAGATTTTAGCACTGGCTGGCTTCAACGATTCAAGAAACGACATCGCATTCCTGAGCATATATTCCACGGTGAAGCTGGGTCAGTGCCAGAGTCAGCAGAGGAACAAATGACAAACTTTGGCAGGGGAGTTTCAAGAGGAGGATATATATAATATGGATGAAACGGGGCTCTTCTGGCGAATGACACCTTCTCGAGGTCTAGCAACAACTTCTCACGCTGGTCTTAAGAAGGATAAAAGCCGGATATCTCTAGTGTTCTGCACCAATGCTACAGGTAATGACCGATTACCTGTTTGGATAATTGGCAAGGCAAAGAACCCTCGACCTTTTCGACGCATCAATGTTACGACAATGGGAGGAGAATGGAGGTGGAACAAGAAGGCTTGGATGACTACAGTGATTATGAGTGAGTGGCTTCAAGCCTTCTATCAACACGTTGTGAGGACTCGAGAGATTCTATTAACAATGGACAACTTCTCTGCTCATTACACTGCCCTGGAGTTATCACCACCGCCCTCAAATATTTGAATCTGCTGGCTTCCAGCCAATTCGACAAGTCGATTTCAACCCCTTGATCAAGGCATTATACAGAGTTTCAAAGGCTACTATCGACGGCAGTGGCTCTCTTTCATGCTTCAATGCTTTGAATCAAATCAAGACCCAATGAAGTCGATGAATCTACATCTTGCAGTTCGCTGGACTGTTCGGAGTTGGAATCACCACATAACAAACACAACTATCTATAACTGCTTTCGGAAATCAACACTCCTTAGCAACCCAATATCTCTTTCTACATTAATAACTCCACCAAATCTATCAGAGCTATATGCACAGGTGGCACAAGCTGGCAATATCCAGGATTCTATGGCAATATCTAACTTTCTTAACCCGGTTGAAGAGTCTATAGTAGAGGATGAAGGAGCATTAAATCATGATGAGCTTCTGCAAGAGATTATATCAGAACATCTTGAAGTTCCTGAAGAAGAAGAAGAAGAAGAAGAAGAGGTACTACAGCCACTAGTACCTACCATTCAGGCTGCTAGGAATGCCTTGAATATTCTTATTGAGTTTGCGGAAAGTAGTGGAGATATCAAAACAGGTCATCTACGGGCTATTGAGAGTCTTGACCAGGAATTAGAGGCTTTGGATCAGAATGGGCGCGTGCAAAGGACACTAGATAATTGGCTTACATAAGTGTGTATAAAACGATATATGCTTTAAGACGATATGAAAATGGTGGCTCGAATCCATCGTCTTAACAGTGTTTGACTGTAGTATAAAAAATGAGTATTCTAGTATTTTGTATGCCACCCGTCTGCTTGAATGCATGCCTCAATTCTACTTGGCATACTCTTATACAATTTATCAAACAATGACTTGTCTAATGTGTCCCATGCTGCTTGCAAACATGATTCTAGACGCTGTCTTGCATGTTCTGAGTTTGATTTATCCTTTGCAATTTCAGGGAACATCTCACACACCCGGATTTTCAAGTGCCACCAAATGTGCTCAATTGGGTTGAGGTCGGGTGAGTAGGGCGGCCACCCATAGAGTGTAGTAATCATATGCTCCTCAAGAAAGTCTGTAACCATACCCGCAGTATGGATAGGAGCATTATCTTGCATAAATGAGTAGCTAGAGTCAAGACTCTCAAAAATAGGGAGGAGTTCTGCTTCTAGAACCTTAAGGTATGAGTTTGCAGTATATCCAAAGTTCTTTGAGTCAAAGTCACGGTCCATAAGGTATAAATTGCTCCGGCCTTCTGCCCAAAAGACCCCCCAAACCATGATCTTCATGTTCTTCTTTGTACTGTAGGTTTGGATCATCTCCCGCTGCCACTTCTGAGCAGGTGTGCGGAAACACCACTCGTTCCTGTTACCCCGCCCCCGCTCAACAGAGCACCATCACTCCACACAACTTGCCCCAATCCTCTGCTGTCCAATTCCTCCATGCTAGACACCATGCAAGCTGTTTAGCTGCATGTATTGGCAGTAGGAAAGGGCGACACTTTGCATGCCAATTGCCTATGCCTGCTTCTTGTAGTATCCTCTTTATAGTTGATGTTGAGCAAGCAACATTACAAGCATCCTTTACTTCTTGGTATGTATCCTTTGGGTTTAAGCATACGTGGTGGAGTATAAGGCGTTGCTCTGCTTCTGTATATGACTTTCCCCATGGTGTATGGGGTAGGCTCTTGCCTTCGGTGCATATTAAGTCAACTGCAATTGTATATCGTACGGTGCTTCGGTCAAGGTTTAGGTCATGTGCAATTAGTAGGTGTTGCACCCTCTGACTGCCTCCCAATAATCTGCCCGCATTGGTATGGGCTTAATTGGCCACCAGGCTGTCGATTCCCATCAATTGGAGCCAAAGCCCTCTGAGTTGGTGGCATAATTATGGTTGTTGTACAAGGAGGGGTGGGTTACATGACGCGATTTACGCGTCAAATTGGAATTCGGTTAATAGCAGTGGTCTAGTACTGTATCATTGTCGCCTTCCATCTCGACCTGAAACGTGCGCCATCTCTCAGCCCGGGCCTCCTCCCTCTTGTCCAGGTCTACCTCTGCCTTCAGCAGCTCGACATTCTCCTCAGCTCTGAGATGCGAATGATCTCGTCCTTGACGCCATCCATGCTAGCATTAGCCTGGAGCATCACCCACGGCATTTGACTGCTTCTGTCTGCCAAGAGGATGATTGGGCGGTTATTCAGGCCGTTGACACTTGCGCCTGCATGGCAATAGTTGAATCTGCAGCCAAAGTCGATGTACGAATAAGCGAGCCGGGATATGACGATCTCAGAGAGGGGTATCAGGATAGGATTTACCGTACGGCAGACCACGTACCCCTCAACAGTGTATCGACCAGGGAAGATGTGCTCTGTGTAGGTGTAACGCTGACTTCTAAACGATAGAAGACACAGAGATTTCTTGCGTAAGGTTGACTTGACAGAGGAGGCAGGGGATTAGACACAAAGGCTTTCCAAGTAACACGTTACAGTATTGTAAAGAATACTATATTGAGTTGAGCACGAAGCTCCTATCTAAGGAAATACTATCTACTTATATAGTGGCGTCGTGCCAAAGGGATATCCGTGGATAACATGGATAACATAATATCCATGATATCCAATGTTATCCATCACCTGATATTCCGTGGATCCCTGTGGATAACATGGATAACATAATATCCAAGATATCCAATGTTATCCATCACATGACATTCTGTGGATCGCTGTGGATAACATGGATAACATAATATCCATGATATCCAATGTTATCCATCACGTGAGGTTGCAGCCGTAAGCGCTAGCCATAGCACTAGCACTTAGCCATAACAGTAGGCTTTAACATGTTCATGATGCAGGTGCTAGAGGTGTGGTTTTGATGATTGTTTATGCGCCCATACAGGGTCACACTGAACCCGACTTCCGAAATACCGCCTCTGATGGGTCGCTAGTCATCAAGCTCATCCTCCTCCTCGTCGCTACTGCCGTCGCTACCGATGCACTCCCTCATTCATTTGATAAACCTCTTGTGCGCGGTACGGTGAGAGTCTTTCTCACCTCTGCCTGTTTGAGCCGTATAGAGAGTCGATCTCGTGTGCTAGCTGCCTGTCATTCTTTGCGATGTATGCTTCCATGACCTCGAGGATCTCTTAGATGTCGGGTTTAGTTTCGATCACCTATTGTGACTGACGAAGTAATTGGCATATACAGCAGGGATGGTCATATGCTCTAAGGGGGAGGTTTACGTACCCCCTAACTAGGTAGTACAGATGGAAATCTTTAAGATTTGCACGACCTAGTAGCTAGACACTTTAGATATAAGAAAACCTAAGAGTTGATCTAACGCAAATACTACTAGCCTAGCCTAGACTAGGAGGCTAGGGAGTATATATAGAGCTATAATAGATGCTAGTATATTAAGCCTATATAACATATGCCCTATAGCAAAATGTAGGCATTATGGATGCCCTTAAAACCATTTGAATCTATAAGTATAGACTTTATTATAGATCTGCCTCTAATTATAGGGGTAGACTAAGGCAAGGGTTTAGATTCTATTCTTATAATAGTAGATTGTGATACTAAGGTGTCTAAATACATAGCATGACTCTTCTTTACATTCTAGGTAAAGGACTTTAGAATCCTAGCTAAAATCATAACAGATTAGGGGAGCATGTTTATATGCTACTTCTAGTTAGCCTTCTGTTTTCACCTTAAAGTATAGCATAACCTATCTACTACCTTCTACCCTTCGTTAGACAGCTAAACTAAGAGGTAGAACTAGAATATTAAGGCCTACCTATAGCTACACTATAATTAGCACTAGGACAATTAGGTAGACTCCTCTACTTTATAGAGCTTACCTATAATAACACGTTCTACAACTCTATCTAAATGTCACCTAACTAAGCC